CTGCCGCTTCCACGGGCCCCTCCTCCATAGCCAGCACCTTCTCGCCCACCCCGTAGCATAGCTTCTTTCTCACTTGCCTCCAGCAAATAAACTCATTTTTATTGGTCAGAACTGGGTCGTGCCTCCAATCATTTTGTCCAGGGGCGGGTTGCGGTGGGCAAGGGGGAGGCCAGCCCCGCTGGGCGCGCATGTGCTGTGGATGGGAGCGGGAATTCTCAACAAAAGCCAGGTCCGCCAAAACCGGTGTGGCTCAGTGGATAGAGCATCAGCCTGCGGGCTGAAGGGTCCCAGGTTCGATTCCGGTCAAAGGCATGTACCTTGGTTGTGGGCACATCCCCACATGTACCTTGGTTGGTGTGCAAGAGGCAGCTGGTCGATGATTCTCTCTCATCGATGTTTCTAACTATCCCTCTCTCTTCCTCTCTATAAAAAAATCAATAAAATATATATTTTTTAAAAGCCAGGTCCTTGGGAAGGGGAAATGGGGTCCCCAAGTGGCAACTGTCGCTGCAGGGGAGTGACACGCAGATGCACGTTTCAGACCCTCGAGGTGGTCTTTGGGTTCTTTGTGACATTTCTCCCAGCTTGGGGGTGACGGCCATCTGGGGGTTAGGAGACCTCTGGGCAGTTGGACATGGGGCTGGGGAACTGAGCAGGGCGAGCAGGCAGGATGTAGAGACGGGAGTGGAGTCCTGGGCGTGTGATGGAGCCTCCGTCAAGGGAGAGCTGATGGAGCCAGGCCCAGTCTGATTCCAGAGCCTTCTGCAGCCCTCTGTGATCTGAGTTACCTGTGACAGGACACCCTAGAAACTGTGAAGACGGATGAGGTGGCTTTCCAGAGAGGGTGGCGTGAAAAGGGGAGAGGACTGGGCCTTGAGGAACATCACCAACTGGAGATGCAACCCCAGATGCAAGGCCACAGGGAGAGCCAGCTCAGTGTCAGACGCCAAGAATGCCCTTCCAGAGGGCTGCCAAGAGGCAAAGTGAGGGCAGGCCAGAGCCTCTGCTGCATCAGTAACCAGAAGGTCATTGGCCAGTGTGGCTCAGTGGTTAGTGTCAGCCTGTGCACCAGAGGGTCCCGGGTTCTATTCCTAGTCAAGGGCACAAGCCTGGATTTCAGGGGCACATGCGGGAGACAACCAAACGATGTGACTCTGTCACGTCAAAGTTTCTCCTCTCCTCCTCCTTCTCTTCCTCCTCCTCCCCCCTCCTTTTCATTCTCTAAAATCAATGGAGAAAATGTCCTAGCTCCTCGGATGAGGTTTTTTTTTCTTTTCTTTTAAAAAAATATATATTTTATTGATTTTTTTAGAGAGGAAGGGAAAGGGATAGAGAGCTAGAAACATCGTTGAGAGAGAAACATCGACCAGCTGCCTCCTGCACACCCCCTACTGGGGATGTGCCCGCAACCCAGGTACATGCCTTAACCGGAATCGAACCCAGGACCTTTCAGTCTGAAGGCTGACGCTCTATCCACTGAGCTAAACCCATTTTGGCTTTCTTTCTCCCTTCCTTCCTTTCTTTCTTTCTTTTTTTTTTAGGTCATTGGTGATTTTGGGGGGAGGGATAGGGGCAAGAAGCAACTACTGTATGGGGAAGGGAGGAGACAGTGACAGTAACTGAGGACCCCTCGTTTTAGAAGCTTGTGTGTGGCAAGACAGAGATGGGCAGGTTGGGGAAGAGCAGGCAGGAAAGGGAGAAAATGCTACAGCAATGAGTGATGGGAAGGGACCAGGAGGCTGGTCCAGGCCTCAAGCTGTCATGAGAAGATACGGGACTGCATGTGAGGATGGAGCAGCCTTTGCCCCTAGAGTATGGGATGGCTCCATGGACACCTGCAGGCCCCAATGCTGAGATCCTTCAATAGGTGTCAAAATGTTTACTGCAGCCTGGCCGGTGTGGCTCAGTGGTTGAACCTATGACTTAGGAGGTTACGGTTCGATTCCCGGTCAGGGCACACGCCCGGGTTGCGGGCTTGATTCTCTCTTATCATTGATGTTTCTATCTCTCTTTCCCTCTCCCTTCCTCTCTGAAATCAATTTTTTCAAAAAGCTTATATTGCCATCCCCAATTTCAATCCAACATCACAGTTCTTTGCCACCTTCCCTTGTTCCAAAGTGAGAATTTTCATTCCCGGAAGCATGGATATATTTACTCATTGGCTCTGCCAGCTAGAGTCTGTCTTAAAGCACACCCAAAATAGCTTCACAGTCACCTCATCGCTGCCATTGCTGACAGCAAACACCCTCAGAGTGAAGCCAGTGCCTTTGGTCCTGAGAATATATCTGATGAAGGGAGCACAGCCAGACAGCTGAGTTTAAAAGGCACTTGAATCCTTGTCGTTGTGCGGTTTTGTTATAAATTGGATAAGCAGTTAGACTCATTTTTTTAAAATTCAACTTCAGCATGTGATTTTCTCACTCTTTCAAATGTATTTTGGGGCGTTTAAAATACTTACAGCCTGGCTGGTGTTGCTCAGTGGTTGAGCGTCAACCTATGAACCAGGAGGTCACGGTTCGATTCCTGGTCAGGGCATATGCCCGGGTTGTGGCCTCTGTCCCCAGTAGGAGGTGTTTAGGAGGCAGCCGATCAATGATTCTCTCTCATCATTGATGTTTCTATCTCTTCCTCTTCCCTCTCTGAAATCAATATAAAATATATTTTAAAGATTTTACAATGCTTTGCCGGAACCGGTTTGGCTCAGTGGATAGAGTGTCAGCCTGCGGACTGGAAGGTCCCAGGTTCGATTCCGGTCAAGGGCATGTACCTTGGTTGCAGGCACATCCCCAGTGGGGGCTGTGCAGGAGGCAGCTGGTTGATATTTCTCTCTCATCGATGTTTCTAGCTCTCTATCCCTTTCCCTTCCTCTATGTAAAAAAATCAATAAAATATATTTAAAAAAAAGATTTTACAATGCTTCAATGTCAACAGTACATTCTAAGAAACCCTATACCCATGCCAACCTCCATAGGTGACTATTTTCATCAGTTTTGAATTTCTCCTTCCTATCTCTTTTTTCCCCAATAAGTGTGTGTGTGTGTGTGTGTGTGTGTGTGTCCTTTGCACTTTGCTTTTTTAAAAGTTTTTTTTTATTGATTTTTTACAGAGAGAAGGTGGGGGGAGAGGGTGAAAGGGTTGGGAGCCAGAGCACCCAGGGCTTTTTATAAGCTACAACGAAGACTTTGGATTTGATTCCAAGGGAAATGTGAAATAATTTTAAGATTTTAAGCAAAGCCCTGTCAATGTTGCTCAGTAACCACCTATGAACCAGGAGGTCACGGTTTGATTCCCAGTCAGGGCACATGCCGGATTGTTCCCATGTACCCCTTTTTTGGGGGGTAAATTTTTTTTAATTGATTTCAGAGAGGAAGGGAGAGAGAGAGAGAGAGAGAGAGAGAGAGGGAGGGAGAGAGAGAAACATCAATGATGAGAGAGAATCATGGATTGGCTGCCTCCTGCACGTCCCACACTGGGGATTAAGCCCACAACCTGGGCATGTGCCCTGACAGGGAATCAAACCATGACCTCATGGTTCACAGTTCAAGGTACAACCACTGAGCCATGCCTGGCTGGGCAATAAAAATATTTTAAGCAGAAATTTGATATGATGTGGTTTATATTAAAAATTAAGACCTAGCTGGTGTGGCTCAGTAGATGGAGCGTTGGCCTGCAGACTGAAGGGTCCCAGGTTTGATTCCAGTCAAGGGCACATGCCTGGGTTGCAGGCTCGATCCCCAGTAGGCGGCGCACCAGAAGCAGCTGATCAATGATTCCTTCATCATCGATGTTTCTATCTCCCTCTTCCTCTCTGAAATCAAGAAAAAAAAATATATTTTTTAATGAAGACCTGGTTCTGCTGTGCGGAGAACAGGCTCTAGAGGAGCAGGTGTAGAGAAACCCAGGTAGAAAGCTGTGGAAGGAGTTCAGGGAGGTGGTAGCTCCCACTGGAGACTAGCAATGAAGACGGAGAGAAGTGGGCTGCTTAGGCTCTGTTGAAATACAACAGGATTTAAGGATACAGTTCAGCTTTTTGTCCTTCCTTATGATTACAAGGAGGAAAATAGAAAACTAGCAATAAGTTTTAATCAAAACTTATTGTTGATTAAAAATTCACATAAGCCCTAACCAATTTGGCTCAGTGGCTAGAGTGTTGGCCTGCGGACTGAAGGGTCCCAGGTTCGATTCCGGTCAAAGGCATGTACCTTGGTTGCGGGCACATCCCCAGTATGAGGTGTGCAGGAGACAACTGATCCATGTTTCTCTCTCATCGATGTTTCTAGTTCTCTATTCCTCTCCCTTCCTTTCTTTAAAATATCAATAAAATATATTTTAAAAAATAAAAATTCATATAAGGTCACTGTCAGAAATGTTTGGGAATACACAAAAAGGAAACTATCACCCACAATGCTATCAAACAGAGATAAGAAACATTTACTTTTTGGTGTATTGCTATAGGATTTCAATGTATGTATTGAGTAGTTTACTAAGTTGAGATTTTAGTGACTTTAGATTTGCATTCTGATTTTTCACATGACATTAGCCCTGTTCCCACTGCCACTACTTCATGTCAGGTCCTTATCCTTTCCTTCCTTGCCTCTGTGCGGGCCTCCCTGCTGGCAGGCTAGATTTTCACACTTGCCTACTTAGTGGTCTCTCTGAAAGGCAAATATTGTATGATTGACACATCGACCCCTGTAAAGCCACTTTTGGTTTCTCCTTCTAAATGGGCGACGGGGGCAGAGTGCAGAGCAGTAGCTCTGTGGGCTATCCGACCCCACCTCCCTCCACAAATCACTACAAAAACGTTGAGCCACATTTCTTGGGAACATTGGGCCCAGAGAAGGGACTGGGTGGGAAACTAGCCCCCTGCCTGATGGCCTCGCACGAAGTGTGGGGGGGGAGGGTTTGCGCAGGCGCACTGAGTTACACGTCACTAAGGGGCGGGGCATTATGAGGAAGCGCGCGCAGGCTAGGCAACCAATGACACATCTCCCGGCAGAGGCAGGGCTGGCTGGGTAGGAACCAATCTCCCGCCCAACCGAATCGCGGGCGGGCGGGGCGTCTGTGCCGGAGCCCTGGAAATCCCGTTTAACTTCGCTCTTCAGGGCGGAGCTTCGTGAGAGAGTCCGCCACGGGGTCTCCCGGACTCGCGGGTGGCAGGGCCAGCGTGGTGGAATTGACCCCACAACTGGGGGCCTCCCTAGGGCCTGGTTACGCAGGCCTGAGGGGCGGAGTCAGCGCGAGGGGCGGGGTCAACGTAAAGGGGCGGAGCCTTGTTAGAACGCCGCTCTAGGGGCGGGGTCGAAGGCGGAGCTAGGCGGAGGCAGGCGGAGTCAGACGGCATGCACGCGGCGGCTTCAGACCGAGCCCGAGCCCGGGTCCGGGAAGGTGCGGGCCCCGCGGGCGATACACGCAGCTCAGATCCACGCGTTGCGCGAGCACAGCATGTCTCTGGGAGCGGGGGAGACGCCGCAATCCTGGACCGAAGGCCTGGAAATCAGCATACGTTGTATCCTACGGCGGGGGCACAGCGGAAATACGCCGCGGGCTGTGTTCGGGACCCACCGAGCGGGCCGAAAGGGGGGCAGAGATGGGCCAGGGGCAGTGTGGAGGGGAAGAAATGAGAGCAGGGGAGTAACGGGGTGGCTGGTGGGAATTAGGCCCAAGGGTGGCCTGGAGGGGGTTAGATTAGCCAAGGTGGCCTGGGAGGGGACCTGAGACCCAACGTCGATGTGGATGGTGCCTTAACGGAATCCCCACCAGCGCCCTCAGTGTGCCGTTCCCGTCCCCCTTGGAGGCAGAGATCGCCCGTGCATCCCTGGCCCCAGATGTGGAACCTCACGGAGAACTGGTTCAGAAGGAATTAGCTGTGGACGGTAGCGTCCTAGTGGTGTAAGCTCTACAAAAGGGGCGGGGAGGAGGCGGGGCAGCAGGTGGCAGGGCCAGTCACCGCGGAAACACTCAATTGTTAGGTTTGGTGCGTTCTAAGGGGTGTTGCCATGGGGACAGCAAAAGATTCAGTGCAGTGCCTGAGGGGCAGAGCAAGGAAGGGAGGAGTCATCATCTCTAACTTGAATTTCTTTTTTTAAAAAAATAGATTCCTATTGATTTCAGAGAGGGAGGGAGAAATGGTCCCGAAGACAGATGATGCCAATGACGATCAGCTGCCTCCTGCACGCCCCACACTGGGAATCTACCAGGCAACCCCCAAATGTGCCCTGACCGGGAATCAAACCGTGACCTCCTGGTTCAGAGGTTGGTGCTCAACCACTGAGCCACCAGGGCCTGGCTGATTTTCTTTTTTTCCCCTCTCACTTTCAGCCACTGGAGAGCTGAAGATTCTCGCCTCCTTCGAACTTCCATCGTGAACTTTCTTGACCAGCTTTCCCTAGTGATACGGACCATGCAGCGCTTCGGGCCCCCTCTTCCCCGCTGAGCCTGGGCTGGGAAAAGGGGGGGCTGAGGCCCAACCTTGTATCCAGGCCCTCATCTTTTCTTTGTACTGGCCCTTGGATAATTGTGGTCCACTTGTTTTGTTTGGTGCTTAAGTGTTTGTCACTACAGCAAATAAAAATGAGCTTCTCTCCCCTGTCTGAGTTTCTTTTCAACTACAGCACCTCCTAATAGTCTTGTCTTTGTCCCAGTGCTGGAGGGGAGGTCTGGGGATCAGGTATTCCAACACTACAAGGAAGCTAAAGACAACTACTGTGAACATTTTGGAATCTTTCCTTCTTTTCCTAGCTGTATTTATATAGTAAACATAACAATAATATAATTATAAAATTTTGCAAGGTTAGCATTTTAAAAAATATTTTTCTATGGGGAGGGAGGGCATGTTTGGGAATGGGGGGGGTGGGGATTGGTAAGGTATGTACACATATAATATCTTAATAAAAAAAGAAAAAAATAGATTGTGCTTTAAAAAATAAAATAAAAAATATATTTCTATTGATTTCAGAGAGGAAAGGAGAGGGAGAGAAAGATAGAAACATCAATGATGAGAATCATTGATCTGCTGCCTCCTGCACGCCCCCTACTGGGGGTGATCAAACCCGCAACCTGGGAAGTGAACGGAATTGAACCTGGGACCCTGCAGTCCGCAGGCCCATGTGCTATCCACTGAGCCAAACTGGCCAGGGCAAGGTTAGCATTTTTACTACTATTTTTCTTTTTTGTTTTTTATTGTTTTGTGTGTGACACATCCATTTATTGTTCCACTTATTTATGCATTCATTGTTTGCTTCTTGTACGTGCCCTGACCAAGGATCAAACCCACAACCTTGGCATAGTGGAACAATGCTGTAACCAACTGAGCTACCTGGCCAAGGCTTCACTAATATTTTTCATCTAACATGAACTTTTACTCTTTTTTTTTTAAGCCTCAGCCTAGGATATTTTCCCATTGGTTTTTAGAGTGGAAGAGAGGGAAAGACAGATAAATATTGATGCCAGAGAAACACATCAATTGGTTGCCTCCTGCACATGCCCCAATCAGGGCCTGGGCTGGTAGGTATATGCCCAGAACCCCTTTGTATACAAGCTGATGCTCTCTCCACTGAGCCAAACCAGCTAGGGCTGAACTTTCCCTCTTTCTAAAAATTCTTCAAAAGCATTTTTGAATGGAGGCATAACACATATATTATAATGTCATTATTGACTACATTATTTTCAATTTCTGTCCTACTATAGGTAATGATTCAATTGAATTCTTATTTTATTTTTAAATATATTTTTATGGATTCCAGAGAGGAAGAGAGAGACGGAAACATCAATGATGAGAGAGAATCATTGATCAGTGCCTCCTGAAGGCCTCCCACTGGGGATTGAGCTGGAATTCTGTACAGTGGTGCCTCGCATAAAGAACGCCTCGCACAGCGAACGCTGCACACAACAAACTTCATTTCATGATTCATACAACGAACTTCGTTTCACACAACGAAGTCGCCCGAGCTTCCACGACCGCTTTGCCCGAGCTTCCACGATCGCTGCCGATGTATTGCATCCTTCCGCGCAGGCACTGCAGGCAGTCGTTAGTCACTGCGCTTAAGTTAAGCACGTATCGCGGCAATCGTTCTTCATTACGAATTAAATCACGCACGTATCACGGCAGTCGTCCTTTTAAGTTAAACTCAATATTTTTTTTATATCATGATGTATCTAAATAAAAATAATAACAAAAAATTTATCTTTTTTATGTCATCTTAGCATATTTTATGCTACAGAACGAATTATTTTTTTTAACATGTATTGTTATGGGAAAACACGTTTCACATAACGAACTTTTCGCATAACAAACTTGCTCCTGGAACGAATTAAGTTCGTTGTGTGAGGCACCACTGTATATAAATCATTGCATGAATCACATGTGTCAAACACAAGGCCCGCGGGCCAAATCCGTCCCGCCAGGCCTTGCAATGTGGCCCGCACCGCGCTGTCATCACTGCACTCCGCTGCGTTTCCATCACAATGACAGTTTATGACTGTTCAGTAAACCATTCGGCCCGCGATTTAGGCTGGATTTTAGATTTTGGCCCCTTCTCTGATTGAGTTCGACACCCCTAGCATGAATGATTGTTTCCTTAAGATAGATTCCAGCCCTGACCGGTTTTGCTCAGTGGATAGAGCGTTGGCCTGTGGACTGAAAGGTCCCAGGTTCTATGCCGGTCAAGGGCATGGACCTTGGTTGTGGGCACATCCCCGGTAGGGGGTGTGCAGGAGGCAGCTGATGGATGTTTGTCCCTCATTGATGTTTCTAGCTCTCTATCCCTCTCCCTTCCTCTCCTTAAAAAAAAAATATATATATATATATACTTTAAAAAAAGATAGATTCCAAGAGGTAGACTTACTGAGTTAAATATTTATGAATTATTGTATAAAGCTCTCATGCTACAGTGCAAAATTGCACTACAGAAGTCCTAGCCGGTTTGGCTCAATAGATAGAGCATTGGCCCTCGGCTTGTAGGGTTCCAGGTTTGATTCTGGTCAAGGGCATGTACCTCAGTTGCAGGCTTCATCCCTGGCCCAGGTCAAGGCACGTGCGGGAGGCAACCAATTGATGTGTCTCTCACATCTCTATTTCTCTCTCTGTCCCCCACCTCCCCGCCCCCTGCACTCTCTCTGAAAATCAATGGAGAAAAGATCCTCAGATGAAGCCAGAATGCTGATTTTCCACAGCCTTGTCACTGTTTTGTCTCCTTGGCAAAAATTTGTTTGAAATCTAGTTTGCATGAAAAGAGCAAACAACCCCAAAATACGAAAAGCAGAGCTTTGTGGGCCCACTGGCCTTGACCCATGTCAGTGAAGCAAAGTGCTGGCGCAATTGGTGTAAGCCTTTCATTGGAAAGAATGAGCTCCCTGTAAATCATCTTGCAGCTCTCGCTAAACTTACTTATTTTAGCAGCTCTTTTTATAGATGCCATCGGATTGTCTGCAAGATGATCATGTTTTCTTAGAATAAAGGTGGCTTGCTTCCTTTTTCAAGTCGGATGCCTTTCAATTGGCTAATATCCTTTCTCGTTATGAGGTTGTATTTTGGTGCTTCTCTGCGTGCCTGGTAATTTTAGATTGGATGCCAGACATGATTTCATGATTTCGCCTGGAGTGCTGGCTATCTCTTTTTAAAATACTTAAAAAAAAATAAATATATATATATATATATATATATATATATATATATATATATATATATATATATATAATTGATTTTTTACAGAGAGGAAGGGAGAGAGATAGAGAGCCAGAAATGTCGATGAGAGAGAAACATCGCCCAGCCGCCTCCTGCACACCCCCCACCGGGGATGTGCCCACAACCAAGGTACATGCCCCTGACCAGAATCGAACCTGGGACCTTTCAGTCCGCAGACTGACGCTCTACCACTGAGCCAAACCGGTTTTGGCTAAAATACATTTTTATTGGTTCCAGAGAGGAAGGGAGAGGAAGAGAAAGGGAAACATCAATGAGAGAGAATCACTGATCTGCTGCCTCCTGCACGCCCCCTACTGGTGATGGAGCCTGCAACCCAGGCATGTGTCCTTGCCCAGAATAGAACTTAGGACACTTCAGTCTGCAGGCTGACCCTCTATCCACTGAGCCAAACCAGCTAGGGCAGTGCTGGATGTCTATGTAGTCCTAGACATGCTTTTGTGAGCTTTGCTAAGTGGCTTAGAAATAGCTGAATACGATTCTCTATGTGGGCCCTTTCTGTGTAGGAGTCATTGTCCCCACACTACTGAGGCAAGATCCTTCTGAGCGCCCGCCCGATGCCTCCCGAATCCTGAGGTCTGCCATCCTGGCCGCCGGGGACAGCCACCCCCAGTCCCTGTCCTGCGTGAGCGCTGGGCAGCAGCGCCTTTCACCCTGCGGTGGCTACTGCCCAGCCCCACGCAGTCCCTCACGCACGTGTGCTGGTCAGTGGTCAGCGGGATACTCCGGGGGGACCCTCTGTGGACACGCGGGGGTCCCGCCCTCTGCCACGCTTCCCTCTGGGCCTCCCCGCCCCAAACTCCGGGTGCGAGAACTCCAGTTCCTTCTCCTGAATGTGGGGTGGCCACTGGCCTCTGCCAGGAAGCCCCTCCCCACACAGTCCTGGGGCAGAGGCAGGCACACCTCCTGTTTCTCCCAGACAGCTCTGTCCTTCAATGTCTGACGCCCCTTGTCTTTACAGCCTGTGCTTCACATATTGTGTCTGGTTTGGGGGTTCTTTCAAGGAAGTGGCAGGGCCAGGGCAGTCCCTGTTACTCCACCGGTGTGAACAGTCTGCCACTGAGAGCTGGGAGCACATTGTGAGCTGGAGGGAGAGAGGTATGTCGATGGGGATACTGCTGGTGGTCATGACAACAGTGAAGCATCTCACCGGACAGCGTGCAGCTGCTGTAGTGGCTACAGGGAGGGTGTCTTTTTAAAAAAATCAGATTTTCTTTTTAAATTTTTATTTATTTCAGAGAGGAAGGGAGAGGAAGAAATAGAAACTACTATGATGAGAAAGAATCATTGATTGGCTGCTGCCTCCTACAGGCCCCACACTGGGGACCGAGCCTGCAACCGGGGCATGTGCCCTTGGTGGGAATCGAACCCAGAACCCTTCGGTCCATAGGCTGATGCTCTATCCCACATGTGTCAAACACAAGGCCCGCGGGCCAAATCCGTCCCGCCAGGCCTTGCAATGTGGCCCGCACCGCGCTGTCATCACTGCACTCCGCTGCGTTTCCATCACAATGACAGTTTATGACTGTTCAGTAAACCATTCGGCCCGCGATTTAGGCTGGATTTTAGATTTTGGCCCCTTCTCTGATTGAGTTCGACACCCCTACTCTATCCACTGAGCCAAACCAGCTAGGGCAGGGATGGTCACTTTCTCTTTACCTTTTTTTTTTTTTTAAAGAAATTCCTTTTTTAAAAATAATTCTTAAGACCTTATTGATGCATAGATGAGAATTTAGCTCTTTGACACCACTATCTACTGTGCTCTCCTCTCCCTTTTCCCCAAATGATTTTGTTCAATTCTTGGGGTTTCTTTTTCCTGCCCGAGGTTAAAAATCACCTCATTGGCTTAGTTTCTGCAATTTCACAATGGTGATTTTAAAAATAG